GAGAGAGAGAGATTGGGGAAGGGGTGGTTTGAGGTGCCGATATACGGGACTGAACTTGTCTTGTTTAAGTTCAAAGAGGATCGTTAGCCAAACAACCTAAAGACTGTTTAGACTGATAACATGGAAACACATTTTTATAAAGGCCAATAAAAAATTTCGTTCTTTGTCAGATGGTTTATTGAAAACTTGGACAACCAGACCTTGCTCCATTCTGTACCACCTGCAAAGTCCAAGGGAACATTTCTCATGTTCATGTGACAAAATACAGATGGACACAACGTGCATCGTTCTGAGGACAAAGGGAAGAAATTGTCCAAACTACCTCTAGTACAAGGGAAATAAAGTAGTGTGGAGACAGCCGTTCAGCTGGCGATTTTCCTGCCTGTTTTTATTTTTGTGCGTCGCTACTTGAAGTAAGTGCTTCAGGTTATTTAACTGATATTGTTGAGAGATGTTCTGTAGAATTCTAACGTTTATTGTAACACACAATAAATAATATTTGCAAAACATTACATATTTGGTTTCATTTTATTGCTTTCATTCATCTGCTCCAAAGCCTGAAGTAAAAAAAAAAAGTGATTATTTTCTCTGCTCTATTTAAACAGACTTCAAGTAGCCTACAACGCTGATATTCTCTGCAATTTCAAAAAGAGATTGCCTCTCAGGCTTTGAACAACATTCACCTTCTCTTTTCTATTATTGTTTTAGCTTCTCCCGAGTCTGTGTCGTCGGATCCTCTTGTTCCCATGTATTCATTATCAAGCCAATGACCAGGGCTATCGTTTTGACAGGTGTGCACTTCAGCGAGAAGAAAGGACAAGTAGATTACAGATTCCCCAATGAATCAAAAACTCTGTGAGTGTGTCTATTGAGCGGGGGGTTCTTCCCCAGAACGTTTAACATCACTATAACTTAAAATAACCATAACGCGCCAAGCTGGTTGCCTTGGTCAAACTGATGCTGATTTTGGCTAAAGGTGATTCCGATTTCGGCCAACGCGCGTAAGTTCAAAGTTCTCGGTCGAATTAGAATGCTGTGTGATGTGCCTCGTCAGTATAAGGAAAGAATAAATAGTAAGTAACGTACCACTTTCACTGATCCCCGTGAGGACATTCTGGTTATGGTTGTAAGTACATGGCATATATGACATACTTCTGAGGTCCCATTAACGTCACATTGTACACACAAGACCACACCAATATAGACATTCTTTTAAATACGATACTGCTGGTCGAAAGTGTGCAGCGCCCATTTTTGAACACCAGCGTTGTCGTGTTTTACTGAAGAATCGACTCTATTACCCACCCAACTTAATGCTGCTTTAACGATATTGCTTGACATTATAATATTTTGTTATCCTGAGCTCACTAACCATTCAGCCTATAGTCGTGGCAGGTAGTGCTGGGCGGCTAGGTTCCCGATTATTGAAAGCTAGGAATCGTAGGAATCGACTCCGACGAACCCAATTACATTCTAACAATGATAGTACATAACAAGATGGGCCACTTCTCTCTTTGAGCCAATTAAAAAAGTGTCCTCAAAATTTGGTGGCGCCCTCTTCACAAAAGCGCACTCTTTGCGAACAGAGTTACCCTACTTGAGTTTTTAAAAAATCAAAGTGAAACTAGCAAGTTTTGGGATAAATTTCGGAAGAACGCTTTTTTAAAAATGGTTACGCTGACAAAAAACCTCTTCCGGAGGAAAGGGTGATGGTTTTCTTCGTTTAATTTGACTTTAGAATGAAAGGCGAGAGGTCATTAAAATAAAAATAAAAAATAAAACTCCGCACTGAACGTACCCGAACTGCTGATGAACAGCAGTCGATCTGCGCACGCAAGGAGGTGCTATTCCTATTCTTCTTCTGGAAAAACGAAAGAGAGCTTCAAAACAGACTGCAGCGCCATCTGAAGCAAAGAGCATACTTCCTGCGGACACTTTTTTGGCTAAGTGGCCCATCTTGTTATTCACTATCTTTGATGGTACTTACTTGTTAATGATGTGATTTCTTCCGGTGGTTACCTGGTTGGCTCCGAACATCTTCAGGATTTAGGATACCCTTGATTTCGGAATACTACGAAGTATCAGCTTTTATTTCTCAAAATAAATTCTAGAAAAAAGAGAAGATTTCAATGATTAAAGTAATTGGTAACCGTTGGTTTACGTAAAAAGGAGTCGAAACTTTTTTTCCCCGTAGCATTAATCGTGGAAATCGGTTCCGGAATCGATTCTTCGCCCAGCTCTAGTGTGGCAGGTAACAAGTATTCTGCCTTCGAAGTAAACTACAAGGTGTCAGGTACGACGGAAAAAGACTCAATCTTTCCCCCATCGACACGATTTAGATCATAGGTGCCAGGCTTCCGACTCTGCTTATCAGGAGCAAACTGGGCTGAGAGGGATACAACATCTCAGCAGAAAGACCGAGATACTTGATTAAAAATAATAAAAATTCTTCGATAAAGATTTTCTCCCCACTCGGGAATCGAACTCGGGCCTCCTGTAATGCGACAGCGAAGAGCCTGACCGCTACACTATAAACGTCAATGGGACACAAAAAACTCGCTCATAAAGAGCAATAAATGATTTTGGTAGCTACAGAAGTCGAGGCGGAGGCAGAAAGAAAGACAACATGAACTAAAAAAAAAGAATTGGCACAAAGATAACCAACAATATAATAATAATAATAATAATAATAATAATAATAATAATAATAATAATGATAATAATAATAATAATAATAATAATAATAATAATAATAAGAATAATAATAATAAGAAGAAGAAGAAGAAGAAGAAGAAGAAGAAAAAGAAGAAGAAGAAAAAGAAGAAGAAGAAGAAAAAGAAGAAGAACAAAAACAAAACAACAACAGCAACAACAACAACAACAATATATCATACTAATTATAATATCAGGTTACCAGTTAAAGCTAGAACTAATTACAAAATTGGTCTTTTATGTCACAGGTGCATGAACCACAAAGCACCACCATATTATAATTATAAAAGACTTTAATGAGTCATAAATATCATCAAGACTTGAGGCCTGCGAAGGAAAATCTCATGAAAATGCCCACTGTAAAATATGATTACTAGAATCTAGGCAGACGAGCTTTATCTTTCTGTGTCATTAAAATTTGGAATCCCCCCCTCCCCCACGCACAAAAAATGTGTTTTATAGTATCAGAGAGATATATAGAGAAATACACACACATAGAAAGAGAAAGAAAGAGAGAGAGAGAGAGAGAGAGAGAGAGAGAGAGAGAGAGAGAGAGAGGGAGAGAGAGAGACACACAGAAAGAAAGAGAGACAGAGACACCCTCCCCCCATAGAGAGAGAGAGAGAGAGAGAGAGAGAGAGAGAGAGAGAGAGAGAGAGAGAGAGAGAGAGTGAGAGAGAGGGAGAGAGGGAGAGAGAGAAGTATGATAGACATATATATATATATATATATATATATATATATATATATATATATATATATAGCCATTATTTTTGTATGAGAGAATGTGCGTGGGCTGGGGCACAAAATCATTCCCCGAATCTTATTAAGATACTATACAAAAGAAACCCACAGTAAAGACATCAGACAGATATCCGTAAATGTGTATCTAATATTCTCGTGGTTTGATATAACTTGCTAATCAAATTATATCATCCATCACAGGTGGGAACAATCAAGAAATTACATGAATATGAAAGAGAGAACATGTCGAAATTTGACAGTGACTGCTTACAACTTTGCGCACAACAGAAGTGAACAGAATGGACCCCCTTTCACTGGTTCTTTGGCCTTCTCTACTACAAAGTACAAACCCTTATCTCTTGATAGTGCAGAGAGAGAGAGAGAGAGAGAGAGAGAGAGAGAGAGAGAGAGAGAGAGAGAGAGAGAGAGAGAGAGAGAGAGAGAGAGAGAGAGATAGTAAGCTAGATAAATTGAGAGAGAAAGAGAAAGAGAGAGAGAGAGAAAGAGAGAGAGAGAGAGAGAGAGAGAGAGAGAGAGAGAGAGAGAGAGAGAGAGAGAGAGAGAGAGAGAGAGAGAGAGAGAGAGAGAGAGAGAGGGTTTGCGAGCTTTACCTACCACACAACACAAGAAATCCTGTCTTTTCAGTCTCTCGATCCCTAGCCACAATCCGATTATACCTCATCAATCCAAAAAATGGCACGTCGCTACATCCTCAGAATGTACTAAACATGTCATCGGCAATATCAGAATGATGTATCCATTTGAAAAAATGAAAACCCGCACACAGCGGGAGATCGAGATATCCAACACTTTCGGCTGAAAGCGGCAAGCCCTGTATCAGTGCAGTTCGTCACAAGGATCTGTCAAAAATCTCTCTCCAGTCTACGCCTGGCAGGGCGATGAAACAAAAGTGGGGCTTATTGCGTCAGTGATGTTTACGTGAGCCACACCGAACGGACGTTTTTCAACTCGGCCAGACAATATTTGCTTCTGGCTCAAACCTTTCTCTCTCCCCCCCCTCCCCCCTCCTGCTGGATGTGGTGGTTCAGTGTTTTTCTTCCTGAGGGGCATTTCTGTCCTTGTGCCTTTTTGTGTATAGAGAAGAAATGGGGAGGGGGTTGCTTCGTTGCTCTGTCTGTGGGTGACTGCAGGGTGTTGAGGGAGACGTTTTGAGAGGTGGAAGAAGGAAGGATGGAGAGATGGTGGATGTACGGGAGATGGAGATGTGTGTACAATAAAGTTTGAGGAGTTCTGTGCGTGCGCACAAACACACACACACTCACACACACATATACACACACTCACATACATACGCATATATACACACAAATACACAAATACGCACACACATGCGTACACACACAACAGCATGTGCACGCACACACATTATTTATACATGTTCATAGGTTTACGTACACGTAATCATGAATTATGTATGTTCATGAATTATATGTATTTTTAAAATATGAATTAATATAGTGGGATCGGGGTGGGGGATTAACAAAGAGTACGAGCAAGAGCTAGAGCCCCACTGTTCTAAAGGTCGGAGTTCCGAATGTGGCATGTGATATTACAGTTGCGGGTGACACAATGACTTTAAAAGCCTAGAAGGATGGTTGGGAACTTGCGTGCGTTGGGGGTACTTTCGTGATAGATAATTGAAAATGTGAGATCAAATCCCTGAAATACTTTCACTGCGTCAAAAAGTGTGCTAGACGTATCAGTACCTTATTTGGAAAAAAGTATTAAGTAAAACCATTGCAAAGAAAGCTCGCATTTCTCATGAAACTGCTCCTTGACCTTTTGTGCTGCTGCAACTCAAGCACAAGACAGAATGAACTAAGAGTGCTCCAAGCAGCCGAAGGTAAAATCACAAAACAAATCAAAACAAACAAAACAAAACAAAACGAAACAAAATACAAAGAAAAAAGAATTAATAGACAAACCTAAAACCACGAAAACTATTTTGCAAGGATCCACCGCAAGAGCCCCACGCGACTTTACGACTATCTGTCTGAACGTAATTTCCTGAAGCCTTTGTCGTAGGGACACAAATAAGGCATTAAACTTGCATTTTTCCAAGATATAATAAGTCGATAACAGCTTTTCCCCCAACAACGTAATCTATTTTATAATCTCCGCACATTCTTGGCACGGTATGATCCCGCTCGTATGCAAAATGATAGGTTTTATGTTCATTTGAGCTGTTGGGAAGTTAACGAAAGACCATCGTGTACTCTTCTCAAGGAGCTTCCCGTCTCTATAAATTTGGGAGTCTTTTCAAAAACTAACAATTAAGCGGAAATTTAATGAGCGGTGTCCCGTCAAAATTTGCATGTGGTTGGTTATGCTACGTCAGGCACAAGCCATTGTTTTGTGCTAAAATGCAGTCTTCAATCAGATGTAAATTTTCGTATGATTATAAAACATGGTTGTTTATGCACTCTTCCGACAAGCCCTGTCAACATGGCTGAGGTTTTTTTTTAATAAGCGGATGTGCTGTGCTTTATGACTTATAAGGTATGCTGGAGTTTTACGTTGCCAACTTTGCAACTTTGCTGATCAACGTATCATGTTATGAAATGTTGAGTCAATGAGGGCTACAGAAGCCATCTGTTTACTGAACCTGGTCTCTTTGATGTTCCAAACCAGGTTTATTAAGTGAAAACGATTACCAGTATACTCAAAATTGGAAAGTTTAGAATTGATACCCCCCTCTTTCCCTGCAAACAGCCTTTGTCCGATCCACAACCAATGCGATCTTAATGTGGTGAAAAAGTTGCGTTCTGTCTACACCAGCGTTATTGATACCATCTAATGAAAGAGTTGTTTTTTCTAATTGTTTTAGAGAATATGTTAAAGAGCAATTAAATGGAACGTAAGTTTAATAGGTACAGATGATCATATCTACAAAAGATTGCCGAGCATTCGATCTCAATTTGTCCATGGCGAAACATTACGTTTGTACTACTTTCCAAAAGTATAATTACAACATTTTGAAGCAGAACAGTCAAAACAACATTGACTTGCCTCTACTGGAAGAGTTATTGACTTGAACATTAAAATGTCGAGACATCTATGCTGTGCCTCGAAACCAAATCGGACCCCCCCTCCACC